GGACCAAGATATTACCTCTGGTGCCTATGCCACTAGGGCCCTGGGTTTCAAACACAAAACTGGGTGGCTATTTGGGCAGACACTGAGCTAGCTGCAGGAGTTGTTTTTTCATATCCCAGTGTCACCTGAAATGCCGGCAAGACAGAACCGTTCATTCCTCTGGAAAGGGGCTGAAGCCGGGGAGCCAACTGGTTTAGCTCAGCAGATCCCACCCCCATGGAGCCCAGCAAGCTAAGATCCACTGGCTTGAAATTCTCGCTGCCAGCACAGCAGTCTGAAGTTGACCTGGGATGCTGGATCTTGGTGGGAGGAGGGGTGTCTACCATTACTGAGGCCTGATTATGTGGTTTTCTCTTAACAGTGTAAACAAAGCCACCAGGAAGTTCAAAGTAGGTGGAGCCAATGGCAGCTGGCAAAGACGCTGTAGACAGACTGCCTCTCTAAATTCCTCCTCTCTGGGCAGGGCATCTCTGAAAGAAAGTCAGCAGCTCCAGTCAGGGGGTTATAGGTAAAACTCCCATCTCCCTGGAACAGAGCACCTGGGGGAAGAGGCAACTGTGAGCACAGCTTCAGCAGACTTCAACATTCCTGTCTGCTAGTTCTGAAGAGAGCAGTGGACCTCCCAGGACAGTGCTCGAGTTCTGCTAGATGACAGATTGCCTCCTCAAGTGGACCCCTGACCCCTGTGCCTCCTGACTGGGAAACACCTCCTAGGAGCAGTTAACGGACACCTCATACAGGAGAGCTCTGGCTGGCATCTGGCAAGTGGCCCCCTGGGATGAAGCTTCCAGAGGAAGGAACAGGCAGCAATCTTTGCTGTTCTGCAGCCTCCACTGGTGATACCCAGGCAAATGGGGTCTGGAGTGGACCTTCAGAAAACTCCAGCAGACCTGCAGCAGAGGGTCCTGACTGTCAGAAGGAAAACTAACAAACAGAAAGGAATAGCATCAACATCAAGAAAAAGGATGTCCCCACAAAAACCCCATCCAAAGGTCACCAATATCAAAGACCAAAGGTAGATAAATCCATGAAGATGAGGAAAAGCCAGTGCAAAAAGGCTAAAAATTCCAAAAACCAGAATGCTTCCTCTCCTCCAAAAAATCACAGCTACTCACCAGCAATGAAACAAAACTAGATGGATAATGAGTCTGATGAATTGACAGGCTTCAGAAGGTGGATAATAAAAACTTCTCTGAGCTAAAGGAGCATGTTCTACCCCAATGTAAGGAAACTAAGAACCTGGAAAAAATGTTAAAGGAATTGCTAACTAGAATAACCAGTTTAGAGAAGAACATAAATGACCTGATGGAGCTGAAAAACACAGCACAAGAACTTCGTAGAGCATACACAAGTATCGATAGCCAAATTAATCAAGCAGAAGAAAAGATGTCAGAGATTGAAGGTCAACTTAATGAAATAAAGTGTGAAGACAAGATTAGAGAAATAAGAATGAAAAGGAATGAACAAAGCCTCCAAGAAATATGGGACCACGTGAAAAGACCACACCTATGTTTGATTGGTGCACCTGAAAGTGACGGAAAGAATGGAACCAAGTTGGAAAACACTCTTCAGGATATTATCTGGGAGAACTTCCCCAACCTAGGTGGACAGACCAACATTCAAATTCAGGAAACACAGAGAACACCACAAAGATATTCCTCAGGAAGAGCTACCCAAAGACACATAATTGTCAGATTCTCCAAGGTTGAAATGAAGGAAAAAATATTAAGGGCAGCTGGAGAGAAAGATTGGGTTACCCAGGAAGGGAAGTCCATCAGACTAACAATGGATCTCTCTGCAGAAACCCTACAAGCCAGAAGAGAGTAGAAGTCAATATTTGACACTCTTAAGAAAAAGAATTTTCAACCCAGAATTCCATATCCACCCAAACTAAGCTTCATAAGCAAAGGAGAAATAAAATCCTTTACAGACAAGCAAATGCTGAGAGATTATGTCATCACCAGGTCTGCCTTACAAGAGCTCCTAAAGGAAGCCCTAAATATGGAAAAGGAAAACTGGTACCAGCCACTGAAAAAAACATACTAAATTATAAAGACCATCAACACTGTGAAGAAACTGCA